GTCTTAAATGTTTCCGACAGTCTTTTATATCCGTGCCTTTAGCACTAATGTCTTTTGTCCACTGATGAAAAACAGTAACATAGGCCGAAATTACCACCGGATCAGGTGAGGTTCTGAAGCCAGTCAGTAGCTTGCTGTTCTTTTCTTCGCTGAATGGCGCACACTTCAAGGCTTGAATAACATGGTTCCCACCATGTCGGACACGAGCATGCTCACCAAAACCAGTAGGTCCAGTTTGATCTCAACCGAAAAACAGGGCACGGCTGATATTGATCCAAATAGTAGCATAGTACCTTACACTGTTGAACTTGTTTTTAGGGGTTCAAATTGCGGTGGGTGGGACATAGTTCGGGGGGGGGGGGGTGCGCTTCAACTCGCCTAGGGCACCAAAATGGCTAGAGCCAGCACTGTTTTATGAACAATGTAAAAAAGCAGTATACACATGCATGTTTTTGTAATGTGGAAGGAAACCAGAGTGAAAATCCACACGAGCGAACATGCAAACTCCATACAGACAGACCAGGACTTTAACACAGATTATTCTTGCTGTGAGGACAGAATAGCTGAACTTTCAATGTTAGGTAAATTAGAAGAAAATACATAAAAGCAGAAATATGAAAAAAAAAGCATATAGAGAAAAAAACAACACATGCAAAAAATCCAGTAACAAAACATGATGCCTATAAAGACAAAAAGAGCAAAAGGAGTCAAAAATAATGTGTTATCAGACAGAGGATGCATAAAAAGAGACTAAAAGGACAAAAAAAAGACACATTAGGAGAAAACAAAAGATGCAGAAATGACAAATATATGCATAAAGAAACAAAAGATGCATAATGAAACAAAACATGCATAATAAGACAAAAGGAAACGTAATGAGATAACATAAATAGAAGATAAAATACCCAAAAATACAAACACAACAAAATAAAATTAAACACACAGATATTTAAAAGTGCATGTTCGCTTCAAGGCTCAGTTCATGTTAAATTGGACATGTCATGCTTTTAAACCCTTATTTTTCCCATTTAAACCATTCAGTAGGGGTCCATATAAAGTGAAACTGCAATGCTTTGGTCTGAATTCCTCCTGATTGTAACTCCACAAACCCCTCTTTCAGACCTTTTTTCTGAGGTGTGTCTCACATCAACTCATTTTGAAGCTGTTCCTTTAAATGCCACCGAGGTGCTTCACAAACCGCCCTCCTCCAGCTTCCAGACCAGTTCATTCTAGTTTATTAGAAGGGTTAATGACTATCTTGCGGTGCAGAAACATTTTATTAACAAATTAATTAAAAAATGCCAATAATGGAAGACTTGTCCATAGGTATAATTTTAATGTGCAATATCTATGTGCAATAAGTCCATCAAATGTGAAAGAGCTGTACAGTGATGCCTTCGTTTCATTTACATTTTATCTCTCTTTGTTGTTTTTTTATGATTTTATGTTTCTTCTTTACATCTTGATATTGTAAATA